ATTTAATACCCTGCCTATCTGGCCCACCGGACCACTCTAGGCGGCTTCCACATATAAAAATCAAATAATAAAACATTGACAAATACATAATAAACAAAAACAGCAGTAAAAATAAAAAGGAAAAGAAAAAATCAAGAGTTGGCTGGAGGGAAGGCCTGAATAAACAGCCATGTTTTAAATTGGGTTTTAAAGGTGCCCAGCGTGGAGGGAGATTGTTCCAGAGGCGAGGAGCCACCGCCGAGAAGGCCCGGTTTCGTGTCTTCTCCTTCCGGGCCTCTCTCGGCATCAGGCTCCTCAGCCTCACCTCCTGACTCGCGCAGGTGATCCGGGTAGACCTTGGTGGGAGGAGGCATTCCGTCAAATATCGAAGTCCTAAACCATTTAGGGCCTTATAAGTAAGCATTAAAACTTTGAAGTTGACACGGAAACAGATGGGCAGCCAATGCAATGCGGCCAGCGTTGGAGAGATGTGTTGATATTTTCTCACTCCTGTAAGGAGTATTTTCTTTTTGCATTCCTTCCGTACAATGACCGGCCCTACAGGCCCAGAATTCGTGGCTCCCCCACAGAACTCAATTAAGGCTGATGTTAATTGGAGTGTGAGGCTGACTGATCTTACTGGAACTAGCAGGTAAAAAGTGGGAGAGGCAGGAGATCAGGTGTATTTCTCATCTTGACTGGGACTCCAGTCGTGATGAGAAACTGGGAGAAGAGGGCTGACCCTTTGCCAAATCTGGGCCACCCACCTCTGCCTTTTATTCTAAAGATTCCTATAAATTCTAAAGATCCATCCATACAAAGAAAATAAAATGGCTGAAACCCTGTTGCTCAATGTAGTAACTCACAATTAGAGTAAAGTCACTGAATCAGTTGGGATTTGGAGAGTCTACTCCTCTGTAAGTTCCAATGATCCAAAGGGACCTACTCTAGTAGCAACTTACTATGTTAAGCCACAGGATTTCAGCCACTAATTAGACGCAATGAACACCAACACAAACATCTAGAGAGACGAAACAAGCAAAGGAAAACAACCCTTGGATGTGTCGCTGGTCTTTTTGTCACATCAGTCCCCAAAATAATCAAGGGCAAGGGTCTCCAAGCTGCTGCCCTCCACCTGACGTGGAATACAAAGCCCATCAACCCCAATCAGAACTGGTGGCACAAATGGAAGAAGCGGTTTGGAGGCTGCCTAGTGGATGCTGTCTAGGATTCTAGTGGTGACCAGAAGCGACACCTTTCTTCCCTCTCCCAAGTGCACTTTTTTCTTTCTTGGACTTTCTCCCTTCTTTCTGGTTTATCTGCACAATATTCCCATCCTGTTTTTCCGACAACTCTCTCAGAGAGAAGTGTGAATGCACTGTGAACCCACCACTGTGGACCAGGACTCTTTTAGCTCCTAGTTTAAGGGAACTCTTCAGGAACAATCACGGATACCCCTGTGGTGATAAATACCCACAGTTCAGGGTATTTAACAGAGAAATCCCACCATATTAGCTCTGCCTTGCTGAACCTCTTGATGGCCCTTCCATGGGTGTCCACACACATCTGACTTCCCTTCCTGTGTTTACTGAGGCTGGAACTGGACAGACCCGACACACTCCCCACAGCTCCCATGAGGCTAATCTGATGAACAGTTTGTGGGGTGAGGAGAGTTTTGACTGGGCTGGAATCCCCTGTTTCCTTCTTTCCAATCATCACCTCTCCTCACTTTCCTCCCCTGCAAGGGACAAGAACAAATGTGGGGGGTTAGGCAAAATCCTGACGTCTCTCCCGCCCTCCGCTCACCTCCACTTTGGTTGTAGTGTTCCTTCAGGACGGCCAGGTTCCTTCTGAACACCTGCTCGTTGTGCTGTTCTAGCTGGGTGTTCCTCTCCCAATATTCTGGATCCTCTTTCTCTGCCATCTTCTCCATCCAGGGCGCTCGAGGCTGCACTCTCCGGGTGATGCTGTCGTACAGAAAAAAGAGCTGGCCGTCCACGTATCCCACTGCGATGTATTTGGTAAAGCCCTGATTGGGTTCAGATATAGCAGTGGTGAAATGATTTGGTAAAGCCCTGATTGGGTTCAGACACAGCAGTGGAGAAATAGTGCACGGAGTGCGAGGAGGAGCCTGGAAAAGGGACGGAGAGAGGGGGAAGAATTAGGAGGGCCTGCAGATGGGGGGGACATCAGAATTAGGAGGGCCTGCAGATGAGGGGGGGGGAACTGGGAAACCCTGAACCCCCCACTCCTTTAGATACACTTTTCAGACAGTTCCCATGCTAGACTCCACCGTCAAATTCTGTCTGTACACAACGAGGCCTCTCCGTGGGGCAAGAGTTGGATCCTCACAAGCAAGAAACACAAAACACACCTGGAACAAGGCATGGGGGGAAGGAGGGCAAGGCGCCCCCCCAAAAGGGGGAAAAGTGCAGAAGTAGGAAAAGTGAAGAAGGATGTGTGAGAGTTCAAACTTTGCCTCTTCCGGTTTCAACAACGACACGGGAGACGGCTGTTTTTGAAAATCAGAACTAGGTTTTATTGTAACATGGGACAACAGGTCCACGTGATCAACTTCTGCGAGGGCATCAAAATGTCTCTTTCAAATGGATTACAGTGGAGTCTGACAGAAAGCTACTTTTTAAAAATGGAGGAATTAAAAAAGGGGGGTGTTCAAAGGTAGGATGTCTGGAATTGGAAATCAGTGGTCGAAAAAACATTTATACACCGTTTCATGGAAATCATCTCATCTGTTTCCCATCCTGTATTTGCACACCTATTGTTCCAGCAGTAGCTTTTTAAAAATCAAGATTAGACTGTGATAATGACATAGAAAAGGAGCCTTTTAGCACGTTTTCTCTCCTTGCATTGTGTGTGTGTTGGGGGGGGGGCAGTCACTGGGGAATAAAGTCTGTTTGAGAAGAAGGACCTAAGGAGCAAAGTGGGTCTGTGAGTATCTAGAATTCACCTGTTTTTTGTAAGAAAAGCTGATTTTACTGAAAACCCACGAAGATGATGTTCCTGTAAGCCTCCTTAGTACATCTTCTCTGACAGAAAGCTATTTTTTTAAATGTCAGTAGAAAGCATGCCTCTGAATATGTGCAGAGTACACAACAGGCTTCCTCACAAGGGCCCCTTGTTTACTGGACTCTTGTCCAAGGGCAAAAGTTAGGGTGGTGCTATGTGTTGGAATTAGACCTGAGGAAAACATTCAATCCTCCTGGAGAAATCTGGGGGGGAGGGGACACAAAGGCTGTTTTTGTGGCCTTGCCAGCCAAGAAGCCTCTTGGAGCAGCCATTTTGAAGGAGGAGGGGGCCATTTTGTGTCCCTTCCCTCTACCTGACAGGCAACCGTCTGCGTGTGCAAAATGGCAGCCAAGAGGGAACTTTTCCTTTTCCTTCACAATTTTTATCTCCTCGGAGCAGAAGGAGTTCAACTTTTCGGGGAGGCTGGCCAACGCAGAGCCAAAACTGAAAGCCACGCCAACTTGGCCGGGAAGGATGCCATGCGTCATGGATACGGCGTCTTGTTTTCCCCTCCCAGAGGCCAGGCTCTGAGCGAGGAATCTGTATTGAGGGAAGCAGTGTCTTTCCATCGTATTTCCTGCACCAGGTGCACTCCCCTCACATTATCCTCTCAATCCTGCCACCTTCACAGCTGCATCTGGTGGAGACATGTGGGAGAGGCCCTTCCCTTTGGTGGTGGTTCCTTTCGACTTTGGAACTCCCTGCCACTGGCGGCCAGCCTGGCTCCACCTTTGTGCTCCTTCCTCAGGCTGATGAAGACCTTTCTCTTCAGGCAGGCTTTACTTGAGTGGCTGCCTGAGTGGGGTTTCAAATGGATTGTTGTACTTTACGCCCTGGAATGGGTCCTGGTGTTACTTTTTTATTATGTTTTTTTGTTTGATCTTTTTAGTATTTGTAAACTTACTGTTTCTAGTTTTAAATACTAGAATTATGTCAGCAGCCTTGGGTACTTTTTAAGGGGAAAGGCAGGGGAAAAAATTAAATATACACCTATATTCTTGGCCAGTTGAATGCTTGATTTCTGCTTCAGGCAAGCCTTGTGCAGCATTTCAAGGAGGAATCAAGCCATGGATTCAGCCTTCTGGCCCATATCCTGCATCTCTGGCAGGAACCAATTAAATTTTACAACATTCCAGTTTGACAACAGCCTTATGAAGCAGGCTCAATTGAGACATGCAAAATTTGAGTTGCATTGAGGTTGCAAAGGCCTCTCACTGCCCCCCCATAAATGCTAGGATTGAGTGGGATTTGAATCCAGATCTTTTGCATCTATGTATTATCCTCTGGAGGTTGCGAGAGCCACAAATTCAGCACTTAATTTCTCTTTCCCAGCTGGGTTTTCTTCCCCATGATCTCGATTTCTTCATTTGCCATGGAAATAAATCTCAACATTAGCTTGAAAAGTCCTTCCATGGGTCCCACGGTGGAGGCTGTACCATTCCCCCCCTCTTTCTGCACTCTTTTTTAAAAGCTCATTAAAAGAAATCATAAATATTAAAAATCTGTGTATGCAGAAAAGGAGAATCGAGGTGGGAAAGTATCAGTGAAAAGGGGAGGAAGTCCTTCATATTCATATCCTCTGTGCCTGTCCAGAGTGCCTGTTCTGGATGTCAAGTGGATCGGGCTACCAAGGGACGTCTGAGGTGGAGTGGGGGAAGGAGAGATGTACCATTTAATGTTCCCACCCCTCTGAACAGCAAACAACTGCTTGAAGCACAATCGCCTGCCAATTAAGCATTTACTCCCATCACCGTGGAGAGTCAAAGGGAGTGAAAACAATTATGTTGCTCCTCTCCTTCTGTCCCCCCCCCCCGCTTCTCTTCACTGGCCCTCCTCAAAATGTTCATTGATTTATAGTGGTCTCAGTCTTTTTCTTTTCCCGATCTCGGGGAGGAAAAAAGCCCCCCCCCAAAAGAATGATCAAGAAACTCACCAAGCGCTGGGGATACTTTAGTACCGGAGGGGAGGGCCCGGCCTGGCTCAACGAGGAGCAAGAGGGCGACCCCCGCCAGGAAAAAGTGAAGCGCCATCGTCTCGCTCCGAAGTCGCTACGCTTTTACACCTGCAGCTCTCCCTGGCAAAAGGTTGAACCAGAAGTCACAGGTATACCCGCACTTCCTGATGGAGAACAGAGAGTGCGGATTGGCTGCGGGGAAAAATATTCCACCAATAGACAAGAGGATCCGGGATATTGTCATCGGCTGCTAGGTAGAGGACGCACACAGGCCAGACATAGCTGGAAAGCCAAAGAGAGTTCCCCGGGAATCCCCTTTGAAGTGACGCACCTGCCATGGAGGGGGAGGGGCAGGAGACTAAAGGGGGATGATTAGGTTATCTGGAGGCTAGGTCCTGCTAGCAAAAGAGCGGTGTTGTTGTGCGGGCAGACCTTTTGTCCAGCGCCGGGCCTACACAGGTCGAGCCCTGTCAAATTTTCCTGGGTTTGTAATCATGGCCAAGGAGGGATTCGAACTCGGGCCTCTTGAATCTTAGTTCATTAGGCTGCCCACCGTACCAGGCTGGGTGCCACCTGTGACGAACACGGGTTCGAAAACACACGTGTACGCTTGGACAGAGAGCAATCAGGAGTTTGCACATGCTAAAATGAGCTGAAAGAGTCCAATTCAGCCAGCCATGCTACAACACTCCTTCTCACAAGTCTGCCCACATAAGAACACCCTGGTACTCTCAGATATTATTGTGAAAAGGTCAAGTGGGCTTTGTAGTCCTTAGACTTAACTTGCACCACTGACAGGACTCTAAGTAAGCTAGGCCGAGGCAGCACTCTCAGATGACCCTATGACAAGTGTACTGTTCAGGAAACCAAATGAGTTTTATAATCTTTATTTTATTAAAGAAAAAGCATGTTACTAAGTATTCAAAGCCAAATTAAACCAAAACAAATAAACTAGCATTGTGCTGTTTAGTTACACAGATGTAGTGAGGCAAAGAAAACATGAAAAATATAAAAGAGTTCAAAAACCTTATAAAAACACAAAAAGACATTAAAAAGAATAAAAACAGTTCCAGTCTAGGAAATCATTAGTAAAAACAAAATAATCCAAGTAGGTTATGAAAAGGCTATAGTCCTCAGTGATCCTATAGAATAAAA